GTTATCAATTAGTTCAGAGGTATCACTGTATTAGACATGGATGTGGAAGCCAAGTGAGATCTGAACAAACAACCCATCTCTTAGTTACTTTTCCAAAACTAACTTTCCTAGCTCAAATCCCATTATCATATTACATTTTCCTGATTCACTATTGTTTCTCCAAACTAGTACATACAAAAATAGTCAGCTGTAACTCCTTCCCTGGACATTCATTTTTCATTTATCATGTCCCCCATGCTCAAGTAAGAATTACCAAATAAAATATGTATGCTTTTATTCTGGATTGTCTGTGGTATGTAAGACATCATAAGAGAGTAGAGGAAAATAATGTCTCCTCTACAGTCAAAAAACTCCAAGAGGCCACTGAGTGATGAGTGAATACTCAGAAGTTGGCCTATCCTAACGCAATAGGGCACGTATTCCACAGGCCCGAGATGGAGTGAAGTGGTGTGGCCTGGGCGCTGTGCCACGTGGAGGCACAGCACAACCGTGCTATCGATCAGGTAGTTAGTTCCTTTAACCGGCTCACCAGTCAAAAGTATTCCAGGTCCTTCGTGCTTCCGATGACGAGACAAGCTAAAGATGGAGCCAAAAAATCTGTTTGAAAAGTGAGAAGCAGAGCGAATTTGGGTAGCAGAACCAGAAAAAAAGAAGAGAAACGCAAAACTAAAACTGCATGCTGCATCTGAGAAACGCAGTGTGGGCTACCATGGAAAGCCACGCTGCTAGCAAGCGTCCTGTGATGTCCGGTCTCCTTTTAAGTTGTCCGCATCTCGTGGGAGCTCGAGAGGAGGTCCACATGCAGGGTTCGGGCGTTGCCGTGGGATCCTGTGATTGACAGGTCCCGCTCATTTTCCCAGCCAGCTTTGCCACACCACACCTCCTGTATCAGAGCCACAAATGCTAAGTCGAAGCAGCCCAATGTCAAAGGCCACTTGCTTTCACCCTGTAAGGCTTCCACCCACTGGAACTGTCCAAGCACAGGCCATCGTCTCTGGGAGGACCACCGATGAGTGAGTGGCTGCCAGGGACCACTGGGAGGGGTCGAGAGGGTCCAGCCAGGAGGCCTAGAGGCCTAAAGGCCAGTCTGGGCCTAGACACACACCAGAGGCCAGCCGGGGCCTGAGCCTGAAATGGACTAGACTTGGACGTGGCCTGGAGGCCGACCTGGGCCTGAACTTGGACACAGGCTAGAGGCCAGTGAGGCCTAGACATGGCCACTGGCGGTGGGCCATCCTGGGCCCGGACCTGGGCCCGGACTAGACTGAGAAGCAACCCTGAGGCTGGGCCAGGCCTGGACGAGACTTAGACATAGCTGGGGGCTGAACTTAGACATAGCTGCGTCTGGACTTAGACACAGCCCAGAGACCAGCCTGGCCCTGGGCCTGGGCTCCACTTCGATGCCAGCCACAATCTGGCAGGGGCCTAGGGGCTGGTCTTGGACTGGACAGGATGTGGATGTGAGACCAGCCAAGGCCTGAATGTGGACGTGGGCAGAGGACGGCCAGCCCCTGGGACACCAGACTGGGACTGGATGATGACGTGGCCTGGAGGCTGGCCTGTGCCTGAAGATGCCCTGGCACTGAAGGTGATACAGACCAGAGGCCCGGGCCTGTACTTGGATGCAGTGCAGGGGCCAGCCAAGGCCTAGATATAAACACAGCCTGGATCATGCTGGGCCAGGCCTAGACTTAAGACATGGTGTAGAAGACAGTCTGGGCCCGGATGTAGACACAGCCCTGGGGTCGGCCTTGGCGTGGAGGCTGGGCTGGGACTGCACATGATGCAGATCAGAGGCCAGCCTGGGTATGGAGGCTGGCCTACAGCGAGACATGGAGGCAGCCTCCACTGTGACACTGTCTGGAGGTCCCACTGGGCCTAAAAGTAGACGCAACCCTGAGGACGTCTGGGGCTTGGAGGACACCCTGGGCCGGCACACGGACATGGTCCTGAGCCAGCTTGGGCCTGGACGTGGATGCAGGCCTGAAGCAAGCCTTGGCCTGGAGTCCGGCCTGGGGTAAGACATGGATCTGGTCCAGGAACAGCCAGAGCCTAGAGATCAGCCTGGGACTGGACATGGCCATGGTCCAGAGACCAGCCTGGGCCTGAGGACGGCCTGGCACTGGTCATGATACAGACCAGAGGTGCAGGCCTGGAGGCAGGCCTGGGCCTGGACTGGATTCAGTGCGGAGGCAAGCCCAGGCCTAGACATGAACACAGCCAGGACCAGGCCAGGGCCAGGCCTAGACTTAGACACGGCATGGAGGACGGCCTGGGCCTGGACATGGACAAGGCCCGGAGGCTGGCCTGGCTCTGGCCGTGATGCAGACTGGTGGTCAGCCTGAGCGTTCAGGCCGACCTGTGCCAGGACTTGGACGCAGCCTCCATGTGACACAGTCTGGAGGCCTCACTGAGCCTGAAGGTAGATGCAACCCTGAGGACATCCAGGACCTGGAGGACACCCTGGACATGGATGCAGTCCTGAGGCCTGCTTGGGCCTGGAAGTCAACTTGGACCTGGACGTGGATGCAGCTGGAAGGCTGGCTTGGGACCAGAGGCCTGCCTGGGCTTGGGGGCCAGCTGGAGCCTGGATGTGGAAGCAGCCCTGAGGCAAGCCTTGGCCTGGAGGCCAGCCTGGGGCAAGACATGGACCTGGCCCTGAGGACGGCCTGGGCCTAGAGACCAGCCTGGGACTTGATGTTGATGTGGCCTCGATGCCCGAATGGGCCTGACGCTGGCCTTGCAGCAGTCATATTACAGACCAAAAGCCTGGGCCTGAAGGTGGGCCTGGGCCTGGACTTCGACGCAGTGCAAGGACCAGCCCAGGCTCAGACATGAACATGGCCTGGACCAGGCCTGGGCCAGTCTCAGATTTACACACCACGTGGAGGTCAGCCTGGATGTGGAGGCGGGCCTGAGACTGGACATGATGAGGACCAGAGGCCAGCCTGAGCATTCAGACCGGCCTGGCCCAAGACATGGATGCAGCCTCCATGTGACACGGTCTGGGGCCCCCACTGGGCCTGAAGGTAGATGCAACCCTGAGGACGTCCAGGGCCTGGAGGACACCGTGGGCCTGGACCTGGACACGGTCCTGAGGCCAGCTTGGTTCTGGAGGCCAGCCTGGGCCTGGACATGGATACAGCTGGGAGGCCGGCCTGGTACCAGCAGCCAGCCTGGGCCTGGAGGCCAGCCTGTGACCAGAGGTGGGTGAGGCCTGGAGGCCCTCCTGGGCCCATGCCCCAGCCTGCACTGGTCCTAGAGGTGCCCTAGCCGGCTGCCTTCCCGTGGGACAGCGCGTGCACCAGAGCAGAGCAGTGATGTCACCCCCATCCCCCACAACATGGCATGCCAAGCCATGGCCCTGACCAATGAGCGGCCATGGAATGACTCTATGGGAGCCGCGTGTAGGTGTGCAGTGCGGAGTGGGGGTGGGGGTGGGGTCTGTTTGTGGGGGATCGTCGTGCAGTCTATGCTTCCAGTGAGGCAGCGCGTATTTGCACGCAGAAACTGTAATGCCAACCACCGGCCGTGGAGCGTGGCGTGGAGCTCCCCGCCCGTAGTCCTACCAACTGCCACCCCGGGTCGCTAGGAGACCTAGTAGTGTCCGTGGACAGCGCCAGTACTGGACAGCGCCGAGGAGTAGCAGCTTCTAGACCAGTGCAGTGCGGACATGGAGCCTAGCTGACCTGAGCAGAGTTGAGCCAAGAGGAGACAGAGACGGAGGTGTCACGCAGCATGCCTCAAAGGAGCAGCCAGAGCAGCCATCAGGGGTTGTGCTGCTGTCGCCGACGCCGTTCCAGGAGGCAGCGAGCCCGCTCTCCCACCACCAGAGTTGAACTGATCTTCTCAGTGAGCCATGTGAAGCGCACCCTATGCGATGGCCACTAATCTCAGCGCCCGAGTTCTTCTGCTCCGGTGTTCCTGGCCGCCATCCTGTAGGTCCTGACAGCCACCCTGCTGGAGCTAGCCTGCGGTGAAGCCCGCTACCAGCCCCACAGACGCATCACTCCAGAGTTGCTCGACTTGGCCATCCTCAACAATGTGCTCCTCTTCAACCTCTTCAGAACCGTCACCATCTCCAGGTTGGCCCCTGGCCGGCCCTAGATTCCGCCGTTGTCGCTGCTGCGACTGATGAGGACCAGGAGCAGGAGTCCTGATGCCTGCCCTGGGGGCCTTCCCTGCCGTCTGCCCCCCCCCTCCGTTCACCTGCCCACCAGCCCAGCGGTGCCGCACCCCCAACCCACAACTCCCCTGCTGCCCCAACCTGGCTTATCCATTAGTTGGTTGTGCCTATAAAGTGTTTTGAGAACCCCAGAAGCCTACTTTGCTGAGTTTGCCTGGGAGCAGGGATTTAGGGACTGGCTCGGATGGGGTGCAGCGGGGCCCCGGGAGGCCTCCAGAGGTGGGAGGCCGGACAGGAGATGGTGGTGGAGGTGGAGGTCTTCGGGATGGGGGCGGGTGGGATCAGGGTCTCCAGAAGGCATCCAGAGATGGAAGGAGGGACGGACAAGGCTTGGGGGGTTGGGGAGGTGGTGGTGGTGGTGGTAGTGGTGGTGGTGGGAGTCTTCAGGGGAGGGGTGGAACCAGGGTCTGCATCCAGAGGTGGAGGAGAGATGGCCATGGGGGATGGAGGTGGTGGCCGGGGGTGGGGTGTTTGGGGATGGGGGCCGGGTGGGAGCTGGGTCTCCCAGTGACAGTGCATGGGGTGCCCCCAGTTGGGAAGGGCGACGGTGGGGTGGGTACAGAAGACGCCTGCCCACACCCCAGGCTCTGAGTATGCCAAGGCTTGTGCGCCGGATGCAACCCCTCAAAGATGGCTCCCATGAGACTGTGGCTGTGGGTCCGGACCGCACTAAACCCCTCCCCCCCACTCCCAACCCCGGGCTGGAATGGAGAGCGGCGGTCTCGTGCCTGCTCAGGCGCTTCGACCCCCCATCCCCGCAAGCCAGAGGGACTTGTGGTGGGCGGCGCGATCCAGGGAAATGCAAACGCGGAGCTCAGGGCAAGCAAGGGTTTTGAGCATAGTTGAGGTCAAGTTCATAGTTGAGGTCAAGTGTGGAAAAAAGCTAAGAGGCGTTCTTTGCATCCCGTGGTGAAAAGCTGTAACCTAGCAACAGCTGGAGCCTCGCCAGGCCAGGCCACGCCTGCGCAACAATCTGGAATCCTTCTCAGGATGCACTGACATGCCAGCCTACAGCCAGGGCCCGCCCCTGTTATTTCCTGGGGAGCACGTGTCGGTGGTCTGGGCTCCTCCCAGCCTGGCCACGCCTTCCTGCCAGTCTTTGCATATCACCAGGGCAACGGGGAGGGGGCGGGGCCACCTAGAGCAGGCGCTGGGTCGGGAGGTCGCGGTGGTTGGTTCTCCTCGCGTCGCGTCACGTAGCGTCGCGTCGCGTCTGGTCCTTTCGCTAGGCCCCAGCATAACGTGATGCAATGTGACGCCACGCGACGCAGAGCACGTCGCGGGGACCCCGAAATCCTGGGGTCAGGGAACATGGCGGCCTCGGAGTCCGGCCTGGTGGGCGGGGGCTGGGGCGTCGGTGGCGCCGGCATCGGCTCTAGCTGTGTTGGCCCTGGCCCCGAGGCCGGCGACTTCCTGGCCCGGTACCCGCTGGTGTCCCAACAAGCTGAAGAAGCGGTTTCTGCGGAAGCCCAACCTGGCGGAGGCCGGCGAGCAGTTCAGGCCGCTGGGCCACGAGCTGTGCGCCCAGTAGTGCCTGGCCTGCGCGGCGTGGTGCCATCTGGACGTGGCGCGCTCCCAGCAGGCGCTATTCCACGGGCCCCGGAAGGCGCTGCGCGACGTGGGCCAGCCGGCCCCCTCTCTGACCACTTCCATCGTGCAGCCTAGCTGCAACTGCCCCTTCTGCCCCTGACTGTGCTGTAGTCGCTGGGCAGGCAATGCTGCCTCCTTCCAGCTGTTGGCGTGCGACTACACAGGTGCTCTGGCAATCCTGACAGTCATGCAGTGCCTGGCGCTAGAGCATGGTGGCTACCCAGTGCACCTACACCAGCAGCCACAGATTTCTCTGCTGCCAGTGCCTCCCGGGCCCCAGAGCCAACAACCACTGCAGCTGCTTCCGGGTCCCCAGCCCGGATCCTTTCAGGCCCCAGTCCTGCTCTCCAAGAACCCTACTGGCGCACCTGCTATTACTGATGCAGCAGCTGTTGCTGCTGCTGCTGCTGCTGTGGCTCTGGTAGCCACAGCACCCTCTCTGGCTGTGCCGGCTGCCTTTTCCGACTTGGTCTTTCGCTGTGAGGTGACCTGCGTGCTGCTCCTGCTTTGCTGCAGCCACCACCTGCCCAAGCACTCCCACGCGCTGGAGAAGTATTCCTGGGAGGCTCTGGACAGTCACTGGCAGGAGAGTGGCAGCCACCTCCCTGAGGAGCTCTTTCGGTTGCTGCAGTCTTTGGTCATGGCTGCCCACGAGAAAGACACGGAAGCCGTTAGTTTGCTGCAGGTGATGTGGCCTCTGTTGACTGCTGAGCAGAACCACCTACTTCCTCTCATTATGCAGGAAACCATCTCTCCCTCAGGACAGACATGTGTCTGATAGATCACATTAACCAGACAGACATCTGTCTTGTCTTTTCTTTTTTGTCTGGTAACCAACCTTTGCGTGTAAGGGAGAAATAAAAGATGTCGCCACTGGTTCTTTTTCTGTCATTCAGATTGCCACCTCGGGAATTTAGTTGAGTGAATGTCCTCATTTCAATGATATGGGGGGAGGCACCCCTCAATTATGATAGAATGAAAGTCGAGGATACGGCTGTCTTCCAAAAACTGCAACATTAAAAATGATAATCCTTTTAATCTTCCTTTTCTCATTCTATCATTGTTCCTTGGTGAGCATCCGGGATTGCACTGCTGCGAGTATGTAAGCTGTGTGAATTAGTTGTCGTTTTCATTTCGTAGTGAATTTCTGTGTCTTAGTAGTCACTAAGTTTCTCCTTTTTTTCACTTCCACACACTCAGAGAAATCATGTCTTACTCTCTTTTTGCTGCAGCCCTAAATTTATGATAAAGCTACTCTGGTTTTCCTGACTTGGTGTTGAGATTTACCTTATGTGTAATATGTGACTATCTTGTCAGGAGGCAAGAAGCTGAACCGAGGTGTATTCATTTCATATGTGTAGTAACCCTTGCATGTAGGCCTTGCTGGACAAAGAGTGACTGTAGCAGAAGCTCTCACCAGGCTTTTGCTGGGATCAATGCAAGACAAATACATCCAACTCAACAGTTCCAATGGCAGTGTTAACTAGTTGAGATGGAAGTCACAATTTTGGTTCCTTTCTAACAGATGTATGTAATCTGTATTGCAACTTTCATCCATATGGGGTTTTGCTGCAAATTTTATTTAACAGAAGTATGTAAAATCAAAGTGCGGTTCTTTGGTATTATGGCATCACATACTGTAGATGCAAGGCAGGATCCTTGTTTTGGTTAAAACAGGATGCCATTCCAATGTCAGATACCATGTTTATGCTGAAATATTACATTTAAAGGCGTTAGGATGTACAAGTAGTAAATAATATTTTAAAAAGCACCACTTTGAAGTTTTCTGGTTTAGATTTTACAAGGTAAGCAATTTAGGTTGTTTCATTTCTTTTTTGCCAGTACTATACTGTGGATTGAACCCAGGACCTCCCACATGCTAGGTACCTGTTCTGCTACTGGGGTACATCCCCAGCCAGTTTAATTTTGAGACAAGGTCTCATGAAGTTTCCCTGGCTAGATATGAATTTGTGATCCTCCTGCCCCAGCCTCCTTAGTAGTTGTGATTACAGGCATCCACCACCATGCCTGGTTATTTTCTTATTTATGTATTTTTTAAAAACATTTTTCAGGGTGATAATACTCTGTGGAATATAACCTTTCTCTCAAACTGTGGAATATAATCTTTTACTCATTCAACTTCAGTCACATGCATTCTTAGGCTAAAGTTATATACAATTCTTTGGGGTGATACATAAGGATGAAGTTAAATTTTTTTTTCTGGGGGATTGCTGTAGGTTGTTACTGTGGGTTCAGTGTCTTGAAATGGTTAGGACTCTAGGATTTTTGCTTTGATTTTACTCCCACGTCTTCAACTGTGGAAATAATGGGAAATACAGGGGAGGCCCATCTGTGGCAGTTCAGCCATACCATGCTACTCTTACTTAGATGTCAGGAAGTTTCATAATGGGTCAGAAAGTCTCCTTCAACAGATTACAAAATCAGTTAAGGTGTGTGCTGCTTTGCTCTTTGGCTTTTTTCTGGTATGTTCTTCTTGACCTTGAGTATAGGCCTTGGTACTTTTTCTTACTGTGTAACCAAACTGTTCAATGGTTATGCAGCATTACTGGTGATGAGTTTTGGATTTAGGGTTATGGAAAAGCCTATAGGCTGCTGGTCTAAACTCTTTGCATTAAGGAGGTGGGGGAAGGCTAACCAGAGGGTTATATACGCATAATTCTGGGAAACAAGGAGCTTTGTTTCCCATTTGTCATTGTCTTTTTTTCCCCTGAGTTTTGAATTTTGTTGCTGCTGCTGCACTGCTCAGGCCTTGACCTCTGCTCCTTCCACTGCTGCCTCTTAGTCTTCAGCTTTTCATCTTGCTTCTTGAGCTTGTGGTGCAAGGCTTGTGTTTTTTGGGCTGCAGGTCCAGGGGCTTTTATTTCTTACACTTGGAGAATTTCCTGAGGTTTTCTTTCTGGGTCTGCTTAATAAAGGTGAAAATACAAGTGATGGATTTGCAGACAACTCAGATCTTGGAAAGATTAGAGGCCATGTGCCGGCTGGTCACTTTGGTGACAAAGCTGTGCCAGCTTCACCATACTTTGTTAGGTTGTTTCAATAGCTCCTCCTCCTTGCCGCAAAGGTCCTGAACCTTAATCTTGGCCATAGCTGCACAAGAAGCTGCAGCTACTGCCACCACCTATTCAAAGGAAAAAGGAAGGAGCCTGCCATTGTCTCTTTGTATATCTTAGAAATAACAGGGAAAGCTGGGCTATTGCCAGGTTGCAGCAGTTCAGGAGTTCATTTATATCATTTTAACATAAAAATAAATGCTGATTATTTTTTGGTACTGGGAATCAAACTCATCACCTCGTACTTGCCAGGCAGGTGCTGTGCCACTGAGCTGTATTCCCAGCATTGGATTTTTTTTTGAGATAGAGTCTTGCTGTGTAGTCTTCAACTCACTATGTTGATGGCCTTGAACTCATGGACACTCTCCTGCCTTAGACTCCCAAGTGCTGGGATTACAAGTGTGTGTTACCATGCTTGGGAACACTGATTTCTAACATGCCAAATATGAATATTTTAAAAGAATGAACAGAGTTGTTGTTTTTTTTTTTTTTAATTTGAGAATCAAAGGGGAAAGATCCTCATCTAGATGGTTCAAAATATACACTAAAATATTGCAAACTATTAAAAATAGTGGCAGTGAAGCAGTGATCTTTTAAGGATCCTTAAAGGATCCTTTAAGGGGCTTGGGATCCTCTCTCCCCTTACAAGATGCTCCTATAAGGACTAGTATTGCTTTTGAAAGTGTATTTTATATGTAACTGGTTCAAAGGCATAAAGATACTTGAGAATCATAACATGGAAGAAGATGTTCAAGACTGATATTAGTAAATCAGGCAAGCTCTGGGAATGAAGGGTTCTGGTACATGAAGATTAATGTTAACAGCCCAGGCATCTGTTCTGTCATTAGACTGGACCAGCGGTCCACAAATTTTGTTCTGTACAGGACTAGATAGAGATATGTTAGTCTTTACAGGCCACAAATGGTCTCTGTGGCATGGTCTTCTTTGTCTCTTTGTTTTTGCAAACCTGTAAATATATAAAAACCATTTTAACTCAGATTATGTGCAGAGTTAGGTTTTAGGCCAAATCAGTAGGCTATAGTTTTTAATTCCTGTATTAGACCATACTATTTGCTCATAATTGTTGCTGTAGAACATAATAGCTGCTCAATAACTTTTTGTTAAAAGAATAACCCTCATGAGTGGTTGATACCTGCTTTATCTTTCTCAATGTAAAGAACAATTGAAAATAAAAGAAATAGGCATTAAAAGTCTAAATTCTAAGAGAATAAACAAGCCAAAAGAACATAAAATGTTTTTTAAAGTTTCAAACAAATTGAGGTAAAGAACATTTCTTTCAAAACTAGGTTTCATTTTAAAAATTGAGAGTCAATTTTTTGCAAAACCAATAGAACAGACAAGCATTTCCTAACTAATCAAAGAGTAAAAAGGATAGAAAGATATATATGTACACACAGATACATGGCATAAGAAGAGACATTTACCCTCATTTACAGCGATTAAGATAACACAAAGTGAGATAACCAGAACACAGTCAAGTATCTACCACCAAATAAAGCACAAAGCTCAAATAGGTTTGTTTTCTAACCTTCATTAGATATGTGATTACTACACTAATTAAATGATTGTAAAGCAACAGTTTCATGGAGCAAAATTGAAGTTTTCCCAAAGAATTTTCAGAAGGAAGACACAAAAGGGGCACACAAAGGAAGAATTGAACAGATTTGTGGAGCAGTTCATCAGGGGCATAAGTATGAGAGGTGAGTAGACAATGATGCTAGGCCTGCTTAATTAAGAAAGGGTCGTGAGCTCACTGGTACAGAATGAATTAATTCCCCAGGTTTCAGTCATTGTTTCATGTAAAAGGTACAACTCTTTATCTGCATTCTTGGTTTTGATCTCTAAACTCACTTTATTTTAAATTACTGACTCTTGGACATTCAATAACAGAGCATCTGTTCATTTCTATCATCTGAGAGTCTTGACACTACTACATCTTTTTCCTATATCCATAATCATCCCTATTACACATAAGTAGAAAATTCTTTTTTGGAGTTAAATGTGTAGAATCTAAGACGGTTTGTTCCATATATGAAATCTGTCAAAAGTTCTTTAAAGTATTAATGCATTGTCTTGAAAGGGCTAATTACATACCATTAAGGTCCCAGTGGAATTCCCTCGATAGGTCAGCCATTTCTTCCCTTCCAGACTATACATGATGATAAACTGAGAGATGTAGAGGCTGGAGAACTTCTGACTGGCACCCTGGGTTTTGATGCCATGAATAATCATTGGTGCCAACAGATCCACCTACCAATTAAAACAATATTTTATTTTAACCATGTTTAAATATATGTACTGTCTCTTAAAATTAGTTATTAGTTTAGGAAGACTCTATATTGCAACATATGTGCCCCTTGTTATCTTAGATGTGCATATGAAGCAGACGGCAATGTTGAAATGTGGACATATCTGTGAGGCTGAGGGACAAATGGGATGAGTGGAAAGGGTACATACCTAGATCCCTGCTTGCTTTAGGACCAGACCACTTTCAAATCATTCACCCATTTTTTTCCTACACACATAGCCATTATACTGCACATATAGATAAACTTAACCCAGTGCTTTCTTTACTTGCTCCTTAGTATCAGCCTAGCCAAAACCCACTTCCTCCCCTCTCTCCAGTCCAGCCTCATCCCAATACTGCTCCCAATAATGAGCTGAACTACCTTTGAGGAGTGTCAGTGGGGAAATGATTTCTCCTGTTTAACCTTCTCTGACTCATGCAGACAAATTTAGTGCTACTTTATTTTTTTTTTATCATTATAAGGGTATTTTTATTGGATACATATTAGGTAGCATATTAAGACCAAAAGTCCCACTCTTAGAACATAAGACAATAAATAAAAATACAAATGGAATGAACATAAAACTAAGTATTTACATGCATATTTCACATATAATTAATCTTTTAGTCTTTACTTCTTTGAAACTGTAGTTGATACACCATGTAAGTATTAGTTCAAACCTTATAAAATAATTTTCCTGGTGGTATTTATTTGTGGGAAGAAGAAAACTTCAATATATGTCTAGGTGGACATGATTTAACAGTGACATTTTTATATTATAAAGACTATTGCTTACAGTGCTAAACTACAGTGACATTAAATATATAGATCCTACCCAAACTCTTATTAGTTTATAAACTATCAAATGAAGATACAAAATTCAAGTTTAACACTGTCAATCAAGCTGCAAAAAAACAAAAGGAAAAAACTCAGATTAAAGTTTTGAATATCCACTAACTTTGGCATCATCTTTTTCTTACACTTCAAGAAATATCTCAGAGCCCAACAGTCTGACTAACATGAGTATGGGAAAAGCAAGCTAAACCCAGTAAAATACTTAAGGGAGGTGCTCTACACAGCACAATTTTTTACTTTCTTTTGTTTGATGCTAGGCATTGAATGCAGGATTTCAGGTATACTAAGCATGCACTCTTTTTGAGCTTTATTCCCTGTCCCAAGTTCTAGTTTTTTTGTTTTGTTTTGTTCTGTTCTGTTTTTGATACAGGGTCTCACTAAGTAGTTTTGGTTAGCCTTGAACTCTTGATCTTCCTGCCTCACCTGTGAGTGTTAGGATTACAGGCATGCTCCATCATGCCTAGCTACTTTATTTATGCACTTCATGTTGTATCTAACTTCGTTCTGGCAAATTATTATACCATATTATAAAGGTTGCTTTGCTTGTTTGCCTTCCTTATTAGACTGAGATCCTTAATGCGGGGAACCAGTTTGTGTCATCTAAACTTTTAGTCTCAATTTGTTTATCTGTAAAATGGAGATAATACTTTAACTCGAATGATTAAAATGTTTATACATGTAATGTGCTGAATTCAGTGACTGGCACATAATAGACACTCTGTGTTAGCTGTTATATTTTCTCCAGCCCCAGAAACTAACATGGAATCTAGTATAATACTGAGGCATAGTAATGTTTTGGAATGAATGCGTGAATAATTGCAGAGATAAGGAATGGTCTGTACTTAAAGAGGGTGAGGGCCATGTAAGCGATACAAAGACACCTGTCACTGCCATATCACCCAAGTCCAACAACATTCTCATAGATTCCCAGTATATACTAACTGAATTGGTCATGACTCTTATGCTTAATGACCATGTGCTTGAGTTGACTGTAAGTTCCATTCATATAGTTATTCATTCAAAGATTATTTTTGAGCACTTGCTATGTGCAAAGCAGTGTTTTAGGTAGTAAGAACACAACAGTAAACAAAAAGAACCCTTCCCTCATGGAACTTACATTTGAGTAGGGGAATCATGCACAAGCACACAGAGACCCACTCTCACCACCACCGCTACACTTCTGTATTTTTATTTATTGATGTCGAGTAGTGATTAGTGAAGGACATAAATAAAACAAGAGGACCCAGAGTGACAATGTCTTCAGAAGCTGCAGCACTATCTTTTTCCACCTAAGATAATATTTCCAACAGAAGGCACTCCATTTTACTCTTCATATTATGGCATAAACAACTGAAAATGTCATCATGATTTTTCGTGATTTTTGTTGAGTTGATCTGTACTGTTTTTTTTCATGTAGTGCATGAGAATTCTTTTCTCTATCACTAAAACTGTACTTATTATCAGATTTAATAAGGCCCTGACAGCCTACCTACATTCTGTAACTGAATTTTTTTCTATTTCATTTTCTCAAATCTTTTCTACATTATAATTTGTACCTTAGAAGAGTATTTCAATTAGAGATTCAATAGCTTCATGTTTTTATCCAGCAATGTATTCCAGTGTTACTGTGAGACTTCTCTAGGAGGAAGTCAGCAAGGTGGAAATAAGTTTTACATTATCTAGGCACAAACAATGCAGCAGTGTATCTGCATGGAGCCTGCTGACTGTCTGCTGCTAATTGCTTGGCCTTGGTTGCCTAGTGCCCTTGTGCCTGTTCAGACCTTTTTACCAGAGTAGCTGCCTGACCCGACTCCCCTTCTAGGAAAAAATGTAAAATTACACATGTGATCTGTGTTTGCAGCTCACGTTGTGTGTCTGTTGGCTGATGCTGCTCTAAAGGAAACAGGGAAGTGAGAAAATCTGCAAGACTGAGTTCTTTAAAAGAAATTGAGTTCCTCACATCACCAGACACAAACATGCAAAATTGATCCAGTTCTATAAATGTTAACTATTTTGTTCCAAGAACTAATAAGAATTTATAACACAATCATCTTAGATATCTTAAGTGTGTTTACACAAATTTAGATATTTTTCTGAGGAACTCTTTTGAAGATCACCATGTAAAAAAACAACTTTAGTTATGTTCCTACCACCTTGTTTAGAAGGCCTATAAAGTCATTGGGACTCCTTGCTGTTGTTATTGATTTGTCTTTTGTTTCTTCTTTTTCTAGTAATTTGTTTTCCCTCTAATGCAGAAAGGATAGATGTACATGTAGAGGCTTATCCATGCCTAGAACTTCTAAAGAGTTTATGAGAATCAATTGTATTATACATGATGAAATGAACAGCTACTTTGAAGAAAAAGAGACATTATGGTAGCCATTGCTGATTTCCTATCATCATGCTGTGAAATCCAGTAATGATTTTATTCTTTGTTTGAGTGGTTTTAGTCTGTTTTGTATTATTTAATTTCAACATAATAAAGGTATGGACAGCTGTTTTGAAGAGAACAAGAGACATTAACGGTAGCCATTGTTGATTTCCTATTGTCTGGTTTTGAAGGCCTGTAATGCTTTCATTATTTTGTTTTGATCAGTTTTATACTATTTTGTTTTGTATGAATTCATTGTGTGTGAAGATATAGACAACTATTTCAAAGAATACAAGAGATATTATGGTAGCCACCATTGATATCCTATTGTCTTGCTTTGAAATCTGTGTCACATTGTTTTCTTCTGATCTGCTTTGTTCTGTATTATTATGTTTTGTTTTACCATCTTTAAAATACAAAAAAAGAAATTGAGTTCATCTAAAGACAGTATTTCTGGTATTAATCCATTTTAATTTTCCAGATTGGACTAAATTTAGTAGGTATTTCCTACTACCCAGTGGTATAAAATTTTTGAGGGAGACAGATTCAGTTTTAGAAAAGAAACTATAATTTCTTTGCTTTTGATATGGTGGTTGTTTTGTGTTAAAATACAGAATATTGGAGGGATCAAAGGTATCTACTTAGTTGGAGACATAAGAATAGAAAACATGATCTTGGGAAGTAATAAATTCAATATAAGAGAAAGTATTCAGTTGTTTTAATCCATATATAAAGAAATAAGACATATTAGGATACTCAAGTATGTCCCAAAATCTTTTGTTCATGATTGTTTCTATAGAAATCATAAATCATTTTATTTTTCAGTTTTTTCATGTGTTAACTGAAATTTGGTAGAAATGACTACAGTATAAAGGATATGTGTAATACTTTGAGTTTGCAAGATGAATAAGAGGAATTCTAACCTTGATCCAGGAAAAAGGTTCTTTGGTGCTCCAGGCATTGATCATTCCAGAATTATGAAGTCTGGCCAGATTTGGGGCCCACTGTCCTTTGTACAAGAAACAGGAGAGAGATTATATTCAACTAGATTGGTCCTAGACAGTTGGGAATGGTATCACTCTTGATAAAGTTTAATTCTAGTTGTGGAGAATACAGACATTGGAATACAAAGGTTTGTAGCCTAGCAGTACTGACTTCTCTCTAAGGTTTTGCTTGTCATTGTTGTACATCTCATTTTCTAAAATTTAATAATTTTGTTGATTTAATTAGCAATTCTAATTAACTGATACTACAATTTGTTACCAGCATCACCAAGTGATACACCTTTTTTATTACATATGTTCATTGAAAATAAATCAGATTTCTGGATTGGTTATTCAAACTGTCTAACAGACATTAAAAAAAGATATACCCAGCCCAGGTTCTTGAAACAAAAATAATAATATTTACCATATTGTCCTGAAGCTGTAATCTGAAAATCTCTAATGTGTCCAGAAGCCATTCCCAGGGGAATCTGACACTCTGAAATCATAAAAAGGGGAACCTAGAGCTAAAAATGCACACAACCTAGCTTCTTAAATATGTCAGTGAAAATAAGTCAATGAAAATGAGAGGACATCAACAAATACTAATATTTTAGTGTTTAGTATTTACCAAGAGCTGTACTAAATCTTTTGTTGTGCTATTGTGTAGCACAATGTCTGTAGTTTATTCTAACTGACAGGTATTACACCTATTCATATTTTGCAGCTGAGGAAACTAGGGCCCATAGATAAGTAGACCAGTGGTAGTTCTTTTACTTGATTAAGGCTAAATCTTCAAACTCTTCCAAGTGACATGTGGAAGTTATGTTTGATAATTGAGTTAAACTTCAGTTACAAACTCTGTCATTGTGAAAATGAAGAAGTTTTGTTTTTTAGTACAAGCTTATTGCATATATTCAAAGTATAGACAACTTCCAGTATATCTGTCTTTAGAGGACTTTGTTTTCTTCTCACAATATTCATTTTAAATTTAATAATGGTATTCACTTGCATTTATTTCTCAACAAAGCCAACCACCCCAAAAAAGGGGAAAGCTGTGTAGAAATAGGCTGGTAGGCAGTGAGTCTCTGCTCACAGTGCTACTCACGCTTGCTGTACACCAGAAAAAGAGCGCTCATCCCAGCATGCAGGTGTTCGCCAATGAGGCATTCTACTCGCCAAATTCCAGCTCTGGATGGTTGCATTTCCATGGTCTCAAAAGCCCCTTTTCAAAACCAAAAGGAACAAAATCCATTTCTTTTTGCTAAAAACTGAGCATGAAATACACCGGCTGTCGCAGAATATTGAAGGACATGTACCCAGTTCAGTTCCACCACTCCTGAACTTCTCAAACCCCAAGTGCTTCCTGAAACTGACATCTGAAACTGAATTTGACCAGCTGCCTCCTGGGAAATGAGAGACAAAGTTACCAAATGCTTTGATGATGGAAACAGGGGAGTGGGTTGCCTAGAGGGGAAGAAGCTGGGTCAGGAATGAATTATAAGTGGCCACCAAAGTAAAGGTGGAACCTAAGCAGGCAAAGGAGATTTCATGAGGAACGATCCCAAAAGAGGAGTTTCCAAGGATCCCTTGGAAGTGCAGTGTAAGAGAAAGAGTGCTCCTTGAATGTCTGCGAGGTGTACACAGTGTCAAGGTACTTTACAACAATGGCAGCAGTCCTAAGTAGATTAGAACAGTCTCAATACCTTACTTTTAATGTGTCTGTGATGGAGTTTAAAGCAAGCTCTGGCAAGGGATTCTGGAGGAAGGGGAAGTACAAAAAACACAAGCAGGAGAAACAGAGGACTCAACCACAATCCTCCCAGTGCAGACTTTCAGCCTGGGAAGATCGAAGTTAAAAGTTCAGATATTTAATTACTATCTTAGAATGAGCATTGTAATTTCTAACTTGAACTATATTTGTGAAATAAAGTGCATGCAGTTTTGTTACTTGAGTGGGCAGAAAAGGCACAGCTCTTCTGAAGAAACAGGTGATGTGTAGTTCCATGGTTAAACCAGTTTTAAAGAGACAACACAGAACTAATGTAAAATTGTGTTTTGATCTACATTGTGAGCAGTGCTTAATCAATATACTGGTTGCATAAATAACCAAACCATTCTTTAGATAACTACTGGTGTCGTGTGGGATTTGAGATGGAAAATGAAAAAGTGTTCTTAGAAAGGTACTGTGATGTTAATCATCCATTTGTTCTATTCTATTCCCTTTGTAGCAATTTTATGTACTTCAAATTATGTTGTTCATTTGTTAATGTATCTCTCTGTAGTATAAAGTTACTTGAAAAAGTAGGTTAGTTAAAACCAGAGAGCTTGTTTGCTTTATCCACTCACTTATCTCCAGTAGTTAGAACATTTAAAGTACTCAGCTGAGCATATTATTGCATGACTGTAATCCCAGAATGCTGGAAGGCTGAGGCAGGACTATAAATTTGAGACCAGCCCAGGCAACTTAGTGACTTAGTGAGACACTGACTCAAAATCAGAATTTTTAAAAATAGTTGGGGATGGATCTTAATGTGAAGAATAGGGATTTAATCCTTAGTACCACAAAAAATAAAAATGAAGTAAGCACTCAACAAATACTCTAGGAAGAAGAAAGCCAAACTAGCTCATATACCTGGATATAAATTGTAAACTGCCATTTTATACTCTTCTTTTTTCCGCACAGTGAACACATGTCCACTGAAATGAATCGAATGGATGTTTTCATTACTGCCCATGCTGAGCAAATACCATCGAATCCTTTGGTCCTGCGCCATTACTAAGCCAGGTAGGGTGTCCATCACATAGCCATTGATTGCTGGAGAAGAGGAACGCAGACAAGGTTGTTAAAAATCTATTGTAGATGTTGCTTTCCCTTTACTTCACAAATAATACTGATATCTATGAGTAGTCCACTCCCACATATGTACTTGCAAGTTATGAAATGTTCAAGTTTCTAGTGCACACTACATTTCACAGTAACATTTGGATGTGGGATATGTTACCATAGAAGCGATAATTCTCTTTAAAAGTGGCATCTTCTTTGTAAATACTGCAGGGTGCCTTGCAATTCCTTTCCATGTTTTCAGTAAAGTACCAGCTCTTGGTCTCATCAAAGATAGTGAAAAGCAGAGCAAATTCCTGCACTGTCACTTGTCTCCCATGAGCTGGGCTCAGTGTGTTCCTGTGGCAGATCAGAAGGGGTCCAATCAAGCCTGAGTGCATATCTTTTTCCTAGAGAGAAATCATCAATTCTATTAGTATAAGTTCTTTTACCTAGGAACCAGATTAGGTCACCCATTGACTTTTATGGCATTCTAGCCTGCTTCCAATCTGCCCATAGTACAATTTATCCTTCTAAATAGATTTCAGAGTGATCTTTTGCAGATACAAATATGATGTCACCTTTCCTACCTAAAACTTTTCATTGTACTTAGGACAAATACCAAAATTCTTAGCATATGACACAAAGATCATTTCTTTTAAACTAGAAAGTAGTAAGCACAATGAAGACATGCTTACCAGATCAACATCAGAGAAATAAGCCCAGGCTTTGCAGTCAAATTCATCTTCAGTGGGCGCCATATATTGTTGCACTTCCCAAAAGTAAGTTTTGGTTTCATTAGGCTTAACAAAGTTTTTTCTAGGTTTTGCTTCTTGTTTGTGATCTTCATTGTAAGAAACAAGGCTAGAATAGAAGGAATAGGGACGAGAGGCCTGGTTTTTGAAAGTTACCTGCAGAGTAAAACAAGCAAATAAAACTCAAATGTTAGAATCATCGCTTAGTCTATTAAAGTCCTAAATTTAAGGGTTATATCCCTAATAGGAATGCTCACATTTTGGCCATTTTCCAAATGTGCGACACCCTAGTGGAAGAGTACAGAGGGCAGATGTTGTTATAGAGCCCAAGCTTGAAGATCTATGAAGGAAAGTTTGAGGAATTTTTGATTCTAAATTTAGGACATGAACTCAGGTTTAGAAAGGAGAAAATTATTAATTATTTAAGAGTAATTCCAAACAGGATGTGGTAATCCTAGCACTCAGGAGGTTGAGGCAGGAGGATTGCCATGAGTTTGAAGCCAGTCTGGGCTACATAGAGAGTTCAAGGCCAGCCTGAACTACAGTGAGGTCTTGCCTCAAAAAAATGAGTAATTCCAAAGTAAGAGGTAAATTGTCACTACAGGAATCTTAAAAGACTATAACCAAGCCCGGTGTGATTGTATATGCCTGTACCTCCAGCACTCAGGAAGCTAAGGCAGGAGGATTGCTGCAAGTTAAGGCCAGCCTGCACTACAAAGTGAGCTTGAGGACAGCCTGAACTGCATAGCAAGACCCTGTCTCAAAAAGACAAAGGAAAAAAAAAAGACTATAACCCCAGGAGTTAATAATGACATATTTAGTACTTCATGACTAGTTCCAGGATGAATGTATATTATCTTTTAAAATGATTTATGTTTCAGATGTTAAAAATTATGCATTTATTATAGAATGTAGGGAAACTAAAATGAAATTGAAATTAGAAAAAATATATCCACAATCCCACATCCTTAGCATAAAAAAGAAATTGGGAAATGGATAGTTATTATTGGAAAAATTACTTCAGTGTTGGTCTCACAAAATGCACTAAAATAACTTCAAATCTACAGAATGATTGATATATTTAAAAGTTAAATATAAAAGCAAGATGTAAAATTTTTTAAAAATCTCTGGATAAGAAGGAATTCTCATAAACACAAAAACAATTAAAGGAAATATTTATAGGTTACTACCTAAAAATTCAGATCCATTTTATTTAAAAATTTTTCATATATAAAATTAAGAAGGAGGGACAGATATGATGAAAATATATTATATGCATTGAAACCTCCAAAAGTATAAAACTATGGAGGAATGGTGAAACAAAGGGGGTGACAGGGTAAAAGAAAAAAACATTTTATGTGTGTATAAAAGCCTATATAATCAATAGATACCAATAAAAATGCAAAGAGAAAATTAAGATATAATAAACTTAGAAAAACATTTTTCACTAAGATCATGAATGGTTAGTCGCTATTATACAAAGAAATATTAACAAGAAAAACATTCCCTCCAAAAAAGACAACTTTTCAAAAGACAATGACAATTCATAACAGAAAGTCTTAAAATATTCAGGTGTATGATACTTCTGAAATTTTATCCCAGGGAAAGATGTGTGATCACAGAATTATTTATATAGTGAAAAAAGAAATTGTCTAAAAGGTTTGTGCAAAATAAATGATTAAGTAAACTGCAGTTCCATAAATTCACAGAACAGACTATTACAATCTTTTATACTTAGGAAATGTTTTTTCTTTGTTTGTTTGATTTTTTTGAGACAAAGTCTTGCTATGTAGTTCAGGTTAACCTTGAACTCATTATGTAGCCTAAGCAGGCCTCAAATTCAATGATACTTCTGCTTCAGCCTGTCTAGTGCTGGCATTACAGGCATGCACCACCATGTCCAGCTAGAAAATGGTATTTATTTATTTATTTATTTATTTATTTATTTATTTTTAAAAGAAAAAAGAATAAAAATGATGGCACAGAACTTCGAAACAAAATAATAGGAGATTAACAATGGTTAATATAATTCTGTTTTAAAATTCAGGAAATATTTTTTGATGACACAAGAAATGTTTATTCCACGATAATATTTAAAAACTAAGGAACAATTATATATGGCATGATTTCAAATACATAAAGAAAAAAGCACATAGGACAAATACAAGATTGTATACTTGAAAGATGATTAAGATGTTATTTTTTGACTTATTTTTCTATACTTTAAAATTTCTTAGCTCAGTGTGGTGGTGCCCACCTGTAATCCCAGCACTTGGGAAGTATGTTGGGAGGATCACAATTCTGAGCCCTGCTTCAGGTGCTCAAGTTCCTGGGTTTCACCCCTCTCCCACTCCTAGCACCACCCAAGACAATTTAAAAGTAAGAAGACATTTTTAAATAATCAGAAACAAAATAAACAGGTAGAATTAATTTTCTTGTAATTTCATTGTCCTTAGCTTACCACAATATTGTCTTCAACTTCTGCTCTTATGTACGGCCCCAAGAGTCCCAAGTGTTCATTTAATTCTCCACGGTATAAAGGTTGAGTAAAAGAACCATCAGTAAACTCCTGGAAAACTACTTTCTTGAATTGGTGGGCACTGCCACTATGATCCCTGGAGACAAAGCAGAGGAAAAGCAATATCATGATGAACCAAGGAAGTAAAAATGCCTCACATCTTTGCCGTCCCTGTATTTGCAATATAGTTAGCAGAACTGATGATGGATTTCAAGTGCAATGGAGCAGAGAGGAGAGAGAAAAGAATTAAAGAACTTTCAGGTGCCTGGTTTGGGCAAAGAATCAGATGGTGATGTAATTCACTGAGATGCGAAACCTAGAGAAGGAGTAGGCTAGAGCATATGGTTTGGAGCAACTATGTGAATGAAATTGGCAGATACATAGGGGCTAGGAGTTCACAAAAGAGGTCTAGATGAAGATCATCTAGATCATTTAGTCATATGAACGGCCTCTAAAGCCAATACTCAAATTTTTGCATGATTTTACAAGACATATAAGCAGCATTTTACATAGTCAACCACTCTGTCCTCCTTAAAATCCTTTCTCTAGAGCCGGGTGTGGTAGCTCAGGCCTGTAATCCCAGCACTCAAGAGGCTGAGGTGGGAAGATCGTTTTAAGTTGGAGACCAGCCTGGGCTACAAAGTGAGCTCAAGGCCAGCCTGAACTGCATAGCGAGACCCTGTCTCAAAAACAGACAAAAAAAAAAAAAAATCCTCTCTCTAGGTTTACTAGTATGTAAATCCTATGAAAGCTAGGGATTTGTCTGCTTTGTCCACTGTTGTATTACTAGCAGTTGGAATAGTGCCTGGCATAAAATAGGTGCTCAAAAATACTTGTTGAGATATTGTTCTACAAAACCCTTCAGGATGGCAGAATAGAATTTCGTTTTGTGTGACTCTGCAAGGGAGAAAAATAGAAACTAAGCTGGCATGGTGGCACAGGTTTGAGAGGTTGAGATCACAAATTTGAGCCCAGCCTGCGCTACTCAGTGACTTAGTGAGACCCTGTCTCAAAATGAGGTTAAAAAGGGCTAAAATGTAACTCTATGAAGGTCCTTGATTTAATATTCACTGATTCAGTTAGACAGAGAGAGAGAGAGAGAGAGAGAGAGAGAGAGAGAGAGAGAACTATATTGTGAGAATATTGTTTTAATTGTTTTGGTTTGTTCTGATTGTTTTGCTTTATTCAATATTCTGTTTTGATTGATTTTATTCTGTTTTATTTTTGGTTTGATTTTGGTATACCTGATGGAATGGGCAACTATCGTGAAGATAACAAGATATACTATGGTAGCTGACGTTTTCCTAATATGATGCTTTGAAGTTCTGTACCAATTTTGCTGCTTTGTTTTAATTGGCTTTGTTCTGTTTTGTTTTGTTGAATTTTACTGTCTTTAAAAAAAATGAAAATTGGGGGAGAAGCAAAGATGGCGGATAAATAACAGCAGGCTACAGAGGCTCCCTGAGATAGTCAACTTAGAATTCAACATAATACAGTGTGGGGAGTCCCGAACAGAAGGAGAATTCTCTCATCCCAAGAAGAAACTAAGGTAAGAAGAACCAATCAAACATACAGTCCCAGTGCTACTATTGGAACAGCTGAAGGTTCAGTGCTCCCACTGTAGCACCCGAATTTGAGCAGCAGCGGCTTACCAAGCTGTCAGAATTCCTGCTGCTTTGACTCACTGGAAATTCAGTCACACTGAGGTTGGGGGTCGGCAAGCTGAACAGAGAGCTGAGCTAGCAGGGAACCTGCATTGACCTGTGGTGAGTGATGGGAATCAAACCATTACAGAGAGAAGAGGGCTCCAACACACGGCATTCTGGGACCAGGTAGGACTGGCAGGAACAAGGGGAAGCAGTGATTTCAGTCAGTTGTTACCTTCCCAAACGGGATTGGTTGGGTGAGATTGGCCTGGGTCATGCGACCTGGCTGAGACCCAACAGGTTACCCAAAATCAATTCCCTACAGAGGAGGCGGCACACACTAATGAAGTGAAGGCCTTAGCAGGTTGAATGACCCGGAGGGGAGGGGCCAGCATATGCTGCTCCTGTTTGCAACTCACTAGCACACTGTAGTGGGAAGGATCACCTAGCCAGTGTGCTTCAGAAGCATTGTGACCAACAAAGAAAGAAACTGGGGCCTCCTAGAAGAAACAAAAAACGATGGGAAGAGGAAGCAACTACAAAAAGTCCCCAGGTCCCAACCCTGAGAACATTGACCCAGGACAGGTAAATACAAAGGAGGATGAAAACAGAAAACATGCAATATCAAACACAGAGCCAGTGGACATAAAGAGATATCTTTGGGACCCCATAGATGAGTTCAAAAGTGAAATATTTAGCCAAATAAAGCAAAATATAAGAAGATTAATAAAAGAGATGCTAAAGACCCCTCAAGAAGACACAGATGGAAGAATGGAGGAACTGAAACAAAGGAGAGAACCATTTGATGAAGAATATAAACAAAATATAGAATACATGAAGCAGATTCAAAGAGATTACCTGGAAATTAAAAACTCTATGGAAAGATGGCAAAACTGCTTGAAAGAACCTAAGGATAGATTATCCAAACTGGAGGACAGTTTTGCAATATGGGATTGTGAAAGGAAAAACTTGTTAAAAATAACATGGAAACAAGCATTAACAATACAAAGGCTAGAAGACGACAAGAGGATCTATAACTTGAGAATAAAGAATGTGAATGAAGAAGCAGGGGTACAAACAAAGGAACTACAAAGGCTATTCACAGAAATAATTAAGGAAAACTTCCCAAACATAGGAAAAGGAAATGATATTCTGATGTAGGAGGCATACAGAACTCCAGCCACCTACAACAAAAACAGAGCTACACCCAGGCATATAATAATCAAGATCCCAGAAATTCAATATAAGAACAGAATATTAAAAGCTGTTAGAGACAAGAAACAGATCACCTATAAAGGAAGGCACATCAGAATAATGGCAGACATCTTGACACAAACCATCAAGTCAAGAAGAGCCTGGAGTGAAATATTCCAAGCCCTGAAAGAAAATAACCTCCAGCCCAGATTGATATATCCTGAAAATCTGTCTCTAGAAATTAATGGAGAAACAATATGCTTCCAAGACAAAGAAGAACTTGGAAAATTCGTGACCACTAATCGAACTCTATAGAGAAATACTGCAAGCATTCTAGAGAGAGAGAAAAGTACTAGGATTCCAGGAACAGTGGCAGAGAGGCCTCAGTGAAGGAGGAAGAATGTGGAATGAAGGAGAAAAGCAGACAACTGATAGCAAAAAAAGAGCATAACAGAAATGAGGCAGAGAAGGTTGGTTATAATCTCTAATACTAATGGCCTTGATACACTAAATTTTAAAAAAAAGAACCACATGTAGAGTAGATCAGGAGGCAGAGTCCACTAAGATGCTATTTTCTTTTCTTTTTTTATTTAAAGAGATCTTAAAAAACAGAAAAAAGGGGTAGAAATAGTACAGAATTTCAGAAAAATAAACAGTAATAAATCACTGGTTGATAAGTTACATATTGTCATCTTAGAAATAATTGTTCAAGTTACAAAATTAAAGCATACAAAGTGACATTCAAATAATGACACTTCAAACAGTTCTGATCAATGATCCAATAAACAGTAATATAGTTATCAGTCCTACACACTTGTTTTTTATCTTAAAGAGGGTAAAATTAAACATGGTAATATGGAACAGAACAGTTTATAAGGAAACAATTTAAAGAAACACAGATTTCAAAGCAAGTCTACTGGAGATCTTCACTGTCTGTTTTATTTTCTCTAGTTTTCTTCCAAATAGTTGTCCCCCCTCTTCACTCACATTGAATATATACTGAGCATTATAGAAATAATCAAGTCATTACAGGATGATGAAGGCTTTTTAGGTCTTTAAGACCTGACATTGGGGAATTCAATAATGGCTACCATACTGTCTCTCATTCTCTTCGTAGTAGCTGTCTTTATCTTTACATATGCTGAAATTGAACATAATAGACTAGACTAATGTCACTCTGAACAGTAAATAATAGTATTGCTAGATTTTATACAAGATGCTATTTTTAGGAAATATAATTAACATGGAAAAGAGTACATGGACTGAAAATAAAATATGAGAAAACAATGCTCTATGTGACAGAGAACCAGAAAGTAATAGGGGCAACTAGACCAGTATTTGTGGGTAGGTTGGAAAGACAGGTCTTAATAGGTAAAGGAATACAATTAGAGATCAAGTCCAGGAGAGAGAAGGTTCGGAACCACTTAGGTAAATAGCAGGTTGCACCCCACCCCCGCCAATTTAAAACCAAGGGTCTTGGTGAAACCCAAAAATGCACAGTGTACCCTGGGGAAGTCAAAGAGGAGGTAGAGTCTTTAAAAAGATGGCAGAAGATGTTAATAGTGTATATTGTTAATAGTGTGGAATTTAAAACCCACATTACTTGCACCGCTCTGCTTAGATAGATTTTATTCTGTCCCAGTTTGTCTACTTGCAGTAGATTTAAGGGCACAGACAGCTATCCCAAAAACATCAGGATAGACCGGAGAAGTGAGGTGAATGTGAAGAATTGGAGCTAGGAAGGAGCCATGTGTAAGCAAGAAACTTCTTCATTAACTGATACTGTAGAGCAAATTGCAAAGCAACAGCAATCACAAACGTCAGAAATAGAAAAAAAACAAACAAGCTCTGTTCCATTTACAGAATGAACTTCAGGAACTTGAAAAACAAATAGCAGCAGTCTCTGCAGAAACTAAAGAAACAGAGAGGCAAATTTATCAGCAAGATGCTGTCATTGAGAATTCCAAACTTCAATGTGAAAGCCTGGAAATTCAAATCAAGTCCTTACATAAAGAAAATATAAAGCTTAAATTTGATATAGAATCAGCCCAAGAAGATTTTTGTGAACAGATGAAAAAATATAATGCATATTATGTAAAAATAAAGACACATAAAGATAATTTAGGGGAAATAGAAAGAAAATGGTCATTTATGACTGAACTTGATGAAAAGCGAGATCTCATTAAAAAACTGAAGACAATGAAAGAGGAACTTAAGCAAGACCTCCAAAATCCAGATGAAACAACACAAATTCAGGAAGAGATTTCAAAGCTTAAGAATGAGATTATAACTGTAAAAGAATCTATCATTGAAAAGACTTGTTTTCTTGAAGAAGAAAAAAAGACACATGAAAAATTAAGAAAAGAAATAGAGGACATTAAAAACTGGTCTTAAATTACAACAGAATATTATAGTCAAAAAAGACAAAAATTAAGCAAGTAAAGCTTCATCAATAATTATAAAAATAAAGGACACGTACAGTCACATTACCATCTTGGGAGCATCATTTCTTCCCCCAAACAATGTACTTACTGCTTGATGTGAGTGGACCATTGATGTAACCTCCTTTCCAAAACAGCCAGTCTTTTTTAAGAGAATGAATTCAAATTCCAGAAGATTACTATTATTTCTTTTGTTTCATTTTTTCTATCTCTTCTGACTATACTTAGTCATTGCCCTGATACATGTTCAAGGGTCATCTTTTACCTGAACTATAGCATTCATGTTCTAATCTTTGAATGCTTTCAAACATTTTGTGACTTGTATATTTTAGTTTTTATGTTAACATTTTTAGTTCAGAAAAAATGGAAATCATTCTTGAATTTCAGTGTTTTTCTTCCAAATAAATATTTTTAGTATTTCTAAAAAATACACATCAGAATATAGCACAGTCATCATTTTTAATTTCTTACTAACTTAATCTGGAGCCCTGTATGACTTATAATGTTTTATCATGACTGATCTTAGTTAAATCTGGTTTGTTTGATTGCTGTTTGTTATCAACAGATTTTATTCAAAACTGATACAATTGATAGTATCAAGTCTGAGAGTATAAGCAGCTACACTGAAAATGACAAGACTCACTACGATACACATTCTGGTTTGATGACTGCCTGTTTTTGAAGTTTTATGCTATATACAAAGTTGTGTTTTTATTAATACTGTTATGTACTGATATATTCAATTATACTATGTCTGATATAGTCAATTCTATTGAAGATAACAAGAGACAACACAGGAACTACGGTAGAACTCCTTGTACAATGTATATGTCTTTTTCATTTCATGTGTTTATAGGAATGAGTTTTGTTTTGTCTTGCTTTGTTTTGTTTCTCCCTCTAATATAGAAAGGATAGAAATACTTGTTGAGACTCATGCATGTGTAGAACCTATAAACAGTTTATGAGAACAGATCTTATGACACTTGATGAAATGAACAGATACTTTGAAGAAAAAGAGACACTAAAGTACCCAGTACTGATCCTGGAGTGTCATAATGTGACACCCAGCAATAGTATTATTCTTTGTTCAGAGTGGATATTAGCCTGCTTGGGTTTGTTCAATCTCAACATAATTGAAGATATGGATAACTGCATATATTTTTAAGTGTATAGGATTGATAACCATATTTCTAAGTTTTTGTTGGATAGTTGAACAGATCTAGTTTCAGTCTCACTGTTTGAATCCCCACTTTATATGCTCCACTTTAGTATCTTGAACAACTATTTGTAAGAGGACAATCTGTAATCATCAACTGGTGATTTCTTATTTTTTTCTTTGAAAGTATGTATTATTTCTACCCATTTTCTGTTTTGTTTAGTCTTTCTTTAAATAAAATTTTTAAAAAATGACACTACAAAACCCAGTGCTGATCCTGGAGTGTCATGAGGTGAAATCCAGCAATACTATTATTCTTTGTTCAGAATGACTTTAGCCTGCTTGGGTTTGTTAAATCTCAACATAATTAAAGATGTGGATAACTGCATGTATGTTTAAGTGTATAGGATTCACAACCATATTACTAAATTTTCGTTGGATAGTTGAATAGAACTATTTGCAGTCTTATATGAACATATACTTTTGTATCTTAAACAACTATTTGTAAGAGGACAGTATGTAAACATCAACTAGTGATTTCTTACTGTTTATTTTTTCTTTGAATTTATGTATTATTTCTATGCATTTTCTGTTTTGTTTAGTCTTTCTTTAAATAAAATTAAAAAATAAAATAAAATAAAAAAATGAAAAGTGTATTGTGAGGAAAAAGCAGAAGACTCTGAGAGTCAGGAGAGAGGTGGCAGATCCAAGTGTGATGACACATGTCATAATCCCTACTTGGGAAGCTAAAGCAGGAAGATCACAGTTCATCCAGCCAGTCTTAAAGTAAAAAAAAAAAAAGACAAGGAGCTTAGGTGTAGAAGCTAAAGCTCTCTGGGGTTTGGTCCCCAGGACCACACACACACACACACACACACACACACACACACACACACATGCACACATACACACAGATGAAGGAAGAAAGAAAGAAAGAAAAAGGAAAGAAAGAAAGGAAGCAAGTCACATGAAAGCCAAAATCCACAGAGAAAAGAATGAAGCACTTCACAATGCCAGCTTCAACTGAGATGGATGGGTATGTGTATGTGTGTGTGTGTGCACGCGCCCATGCATGTGTGCGTGTGTGTGTGTGTGTGTGTGTGTGTGTGTGTGTGTGTGTGTAACCAAACTGTGCAAACACAAAGTAAGCCTGGAGAATGCTGGTATCCCCAATGATAAATGGGCAGCACCAGCCTCCAAAGGAGCCTATGAATATTGCTAGCTGTCAGCACAGTGTGAAGATTTACACATTGTGAAAGTGCCTCCTCTTATAGGGTTTTGGGGGAGAGTGGCTCACTCAGGAGCTGTTTTGAGAGGTAGCTCATTGTTTGAGAGTGAACTACTCCAGGGACCAGAAGTCACAGAACAACTTTGCTTCAGCACCCCTGGGAACATGTTGCCACAATGACTGAGTGGGAAACAGCCATAAGACATAGTCATGGAGTGGGGGAAGTTTAGCCACAGGCTCACTGAGAAGTCGAAGTAGAGGGGAAGCTCAGCTTGTGGAAGACACAGTAGCCAGCAGAATTGCCCTCTGTGGTGAGAAGCCATTTCCATGGTGTGCATTTCCTGAGGGGGCTGGAACTGAAAGCACTGGAATGGATGCCAGTGGAATGCTTGGCTTTCCTTGCAGCCTACTTCCAGCACAGAACTCAGAGGCCTGTTTGCTTTCCCCACCTGTCAACATGATCATGGATACACCTCCATTTAGAATTTGCCACATCCCTGGCTATATAGTGACATCAGTCTTGGGAGCAAGTGGAATACATCATAAGCCCACAGGTCACAAAGCTAGCTGAGGATGGCAGTGGCTCTGGGTACACAGAAGGAAACAAACAATAAAAAGCCTTTGAAGTGAATACACACAAGCAGATAGTGTACCACTGACCAGTTCTACATGCGAAAAAGGTTCATAGAATACAGAAAATACAAGAGACCCTGGGAATGATTCACTACCCTTCCACCATACTTGGTGGATTCTAATACTATCAATACTGGCAAGAAACTTTATCAATCCAAGCACTTAAATGTGGGGAATTTTTTGATTCATATTTTTCTTTTTCATTTTTCCTTTTACTCCTTTTCTTTTTTGTTTATTTAATTTTTAACCTCTCACTGTTATCTACATTCATTTACTTTTAAAATTCTTTAATTGAATGAATTCTTATCTTTGTTCTCCTCTTTCACATCGTATCTTCCTTTTTTTGTATTTTTGAAACAGGGTATGGCTATGCAGTTCAGGCTGGCCTTGAGCTCACTTCGTAGCTTAGGTTGGTCTTGAACTCACAACAAGCCTCCTGCCTCAGCATCCCGTGTGCTGGGATTATAAGTGTGCACCACCACATCCAGCTATTCTTTTTTCTTTCTTAAATCTTTCATCTTTCATTTTCCCTTCCCTTTTCCCCTTTGTATTTTTACTAGTGAATTATTACTTTTACTGTCATTAATATATAGCTTTTTGTTTTATTCTATAGTATTGCCCTTTTCTTTTCTATTTTTAGTAATGTTATGATTATTGCTTCTACTTCATTTTCACTTTGTGTTAGTATCAGTTTTTGTCTTTTTGCTATCTTTAATGTGGTATGTGTTCTGCTCTCTGAGTGGTACTAGGGATTGTGCCCACAAATGAAGGATGCTCACTAAAAAGACCCTCACATAAAAGTGTAAGAGATATTTGCCCCTACAGATGCACAAATCCTAACAAAAAACTCAAAGAATATTAAAAAGTAGGGCAACATGATTCCTCCAGGGGTTTATAATTCATCAATAACTGAATGTAAATACACTGAAATGGATGAAATACTGGACAAATAAAAAATGGATTCTTAAAATGGTCAATGACTTCAAAGAGGATGCAAATAAATGACTGAGTCAATTAAGAAAGATAATACAGGATCTGAAGGAGAAATTTAACAAAAAGATAGACATTCTGAAAAAGAATCAAACAGAAATTTTGGAAATGCTCAACACATAAAATCGAAACTCAATGGAAAGCCTCATCAATAGACAAAACTAAGCAGAAGACAGAATTTCAGGGTCTGAAGACAAGGTTATTGATTTGTCACACTCAGACAATGATAAAGAAAAATCAAATATGAATGAAAATTCAAGAACTCAGTGACATGATTAAAAGACCAAACTTACACACTTACTGTTGTAGAAGAGGGTTCTAAGGTACAGACTAAAGGCATTGAAAATTTACCTGAGGAAACAATAGCAGAAAAATTCCTAAATCTTGAGAAAGGTGTAAGCATCCACTTGTAGGAGGCATTTAGAACCCCAAATAGGCTTTTTGTTTTATTCTATAGTATATAGAAAAAAAAAATAATCTTTCCACACCATATTATAGTTAAAATGCCAAACATACAGAGGAAGGAAAGAATGTTGAAAGCTGAAAAGAGAAATTTTAAGTCACTTATAAAAGCAATGTATTGGTTACTTTCTGTCACTGGAGACAAAATACCTAACCCTCTCAACTTTGTAGAAGAGAAGTTTATTTTAGCTCACAGTTTCACAGAGTTCTGTGGCATGACTGACTGGCTCCCAGGAAGAAACAGCATGACAAAAGAACCTGGGAGAGGAAAACTGCACAAGCCATGGCAGCCAAAAAGCAGAATGAGAAGAGAAGACCCAGGGACAAGAACCTACCGTTTTTGGTCACATGTATATTGATGCACTTCTTCTAGCCAGGCCTCACCTCTTAACAGCACATTCAGCTATTAATTTATCAGTGGATTAATCCACTGATGAGTGTAGCACCCCCATGATACAATTTATCTTCCAAAATTCCCACCTTT